GCATCGGGCACCGTGGGGTTCAGGGCGGATCCGAAGTACAAGCTCTCCGTGCGCGGGGGGAGGCGCATATGACCTGTTCATTCCTCTACACGCATACGTACACACATGCGCATACATATATACATATGTGTAACTAAACCTGTATATGCATGTGTGCATACATATATATATATATATATATGTATATATGCGTATATATAAAGTGATTCACACGCACCCACACACATCTATATACACACATAGCTACAGTTACATCTCTATACCTTTCTACGTATATCTATATGTAAGCATACATACATACATACATCGGCGCATGGACATACATATATACACACATATATATATATATATATATATATATATATATATATATGTATAGAGGTTTCGTGGCCTTCAGCTCAATTGGATGTTGTGGCTTTGATGTTTCGGCCCCGCCGTGCCTGGGTTGTGGCTCAGGGGCCTCGGAATGTTCGTTCGGAGAGCGTGGGAGGCCTCTCGGGGGGGGGGGGGGGGGGCTCTTTGGGGGGCCCCCGGGGGGCCTCGTTGGGCTTCTAGGGGGCCTCTTGGGCTCTCTTGGGGGCCTCTTGGGGCCTCCTGGGGGCCTCTTGGTGCCGAAGGCTCGATTTGTCGGTTCGTGCTCCCCTTTTCGGCCCATATTTGGGCCCTCTTGGGCGATCTTGGGCGCCTCTTGGGCCGTTTTGGGGACCCTCTTGGGGCGTCTTGGGGCCCTCTTGGGGGCGTGTTGGGCCGTCTTGGGGCGGTCTTGAGGTCCATACTGGAGCGTCGGAAGCCAGAAAACGCGAGAACGCGACAAAAACATCGACAACACACAATGCACATCAATGCTGTGTGCCTCTTTGGGCCCTCTTAGGGGTCCTCTTGGGACTCTCTTGGGTCTTCTTTGGGGCCACTCGGACCGTCTTGGGGCCATCTTTGGCGTCTTGGAGCGCTCCTGGGCTGTCTTGGCGGCCTCTTGGACCCTCTTTGGCGCTTTCTTGGGCCCCCTTGGCCCGTCTTGGAGCCCTCTGGCCTCTGGTGAAGTCATCCGGGGCAGCCCGGGAGCGCGCGGGAGCGCCAGGAGCATTGTGAGCGGCTTGGGGCTCCTCCTCCTCCTCCTCCTCGATCTTACTCCTCCTCCTCCTCCTCCTCCTCTTCCTCCTCCTCCTCCTAGATCCTCCTCCTCCTCCTCCTCCTCCTCCTCCTCGATCTTCCTCCTCCTCCTCCTCCTCCTCCTCCTCCTCGATCCTCCTCCTCCTCCTCCTCCTCCTCCAGCCTTCACGCGAAAGACTTTAACCCCCCACTCCTGAGTACAGAGAGCAGGGAACCCTTGAGGACCTGAGGACGCTCCACTTCATGACTCGAGGCACGGTGGCGGATACGTACACATATGTAGATGCACATACATTTGTGTATGTGTACGTATCTGCGCATATTTGTATACACACATACATATATGCAAACATATGTACAAACAACAATCCATGTAAGTATCTCTAATAAGAATGTGGGTCCGCGTCCTCGTCTTTCCTCCTCCTCCTCCTCCTTCTGATCCTCATCCCTCCTCCTCCCTCCCTTCCTCCGTCCTTCTCCTCCTCCTCCTCCTCCTCCCTCCTCCGCCGCCGCCTCCTCCTGCTCCTTACTAAGTATTCCGTACTAGTATACATTCCGATTCTCCGCCGCGGCTGCCCGACTGAAGCCCAGTTTGGGACCGTCGATCCTCCGTGTGGAGCAGCAGTGTGAAGTCGACGACGTTCGTAGCAACGCGGCCATGACGTCGCCCGTGCTGCCAGAGGCGTGGCAGGAATGGGGGGGCGCACGTCCTTCGCGAGAGGCCACCACTCTTGAGAATGGAGCTCTCGCGAGGGGAGAGGAGGAGGGGGAGGAGGAGGCGGAGGAGGAGGAGGAGGCGGAGGAGGAGGAGGAGGAGGAGGAGGGCAGGGGTGGGCTTCGCGCGTGGCCCCCCTGGGGCGTGAGCAGAGCAGCTCGGGCGCGGGCGGGCCGGTCGGGCGGGACTTGGAAGCCAGGCACTCTGACTCCAGATCCGCACTCCTCCTCCTCCTCCTCCTCCTTCCCCTCCTCCTCCTCCTCCTCCTCCTCCTCCTCCTCCTCCTCCTCCTCCTCCTCCTCCTCCTCACGGGCGGGCGAAAGCGCAGCTCTCGCCTCGGCGCCGTGCAGATTTCGCCTGCCAGGCGCGGCGCTCTCGCCTCGACGCGGCGGCGCTGCTGCCACTTGCCCGCCCAGGCCTCCGACGTTGTGGCTTGTTCACAACGTCGACCCCCAGAGGTCTGCCCTCCTCCTCCTCCTCCTCCTCCTCCTCCTCCTCCTTCCCCTCCTCCTCCTGCCCTGCCGGGGGCAGGCGGACAGAGGGGGAGCCCTGACTCCAGATCCGCCCTACTTCTTGGCTTTTTTTTCCAACTCAAAACTGCGTCGGAGGTCCACCTTTTAGAAGCCGAAACAGTAGGGCGGAGACTTCTGCACCCAACATGCAGCAGGGCGGAAATCCACAGAAGTAGGGCGGACACAGCAACAGAAAAGTAGGGCGGAAATTGGCATCAGCGGAGCTTGAACAGTAAGGCGGAAATTCCAAGCCCTACCTTACAAATTTCCCCAAAGTAGGGCGGATCTGGAGTCAGGGTGGACCCTTTCCCTGGGACCGGCCTCTCGTCCTGAGCCGTGCCTTGACGGCCCCGAGGCCCGGCGAGGGGCCCCCTCGAGGCCACAGAGGAGCGAAAAGCCTCCCGTCGCGATTTTTGTTCCACAACGCGAGGAGGGGGAGGAGGAGGAGGAGGAGGAGGAGGAGGAGGAGGAGGAGGAGGAGGAGGAGGAGGAGGAGGAGGAAGGAGGAGGAGGAGGATGGAGGAGTCGGAGGAGGCGGAGGATGAGAGGAGGAGGAGGGGGAGAGGAGGAGGAAGGAGGAGGAGGAGGAGGAGGAGGAGGAGGAGGAAGGAGGAGGGTCGGAGGGAAGGGCCCCCAGAGGGCACAGAGCCCCCCCAGCGGAAGAGCCTCCCGTCGCGTGCTTTTTGCACGGCGCGAGGAGGTCTGGGCCTGTGGGGGAGGGGGGGGCGCGGGTGGGCGGCCCAGGCCTGCGGCGTCGTGTGATTTCTGTCGCGGCGGGGAAGTCCCAACCCTTCCCTGACTCCAGGAGGAGGAGGAGGAGGAGGAGGAGGAGGAGGAGGAGGCGGAGGAGGAGGAGGGAAGAGGAGGAGGAGGAGAAGGAGGAGGAGGAAGGGGAGGGAGGAGGAGAGGAGAGGAGGGAGGAGGAGGAGGAGGAGGAGAGGAGGAGGGCAGGGGTGGGCTTCGTCGGCGTGGCCCCCCTGGCGTGAGCAGGCAGATCGGGCGCGGGCGGGTCCGGTCGGGCGGGGACTTGAAGCCAGGCACTCTGACTCTCCTCTCCTCTCCTCCCATCCCCCCCCCTCCTCCCCCCATCCTCCCCCTCCTCCTCCTCCCTCCTCCCTCCCTCCTCCTCCTCCTCCTCCTCCTCCTCCTCCTCCTCCTCCTCCTCCGCGCCGTTTGCGGCCTCTCGGGGGCCCGCGCCGGGCCCTGGGGAGCTTCGAAGAAGGCGGCCCGGGACGGCATTCCCTGCCCCGGGGTACCCTGACTCCAGATCCGCCCTACTTGGGCTTTTTTTCCAGCTCAAAACTGCGTCGGAGGCCCACCTTTTAGAAGCCGAGAAAGTAGGGCGGAAACTTCCGCACCCAGCATGCAGCAGGGCGGAGATCCGCAGAGGTAGGGCGGAGGCAGCAACAGAAGAAGCAGGGCGGAAAGTGGCATCGGCGGGGCTTGAAAAGTAAGGCGGAAATTCCAAGCCCTACTACGAATTTCCCCAAAGAAGGGCGGATCCGCGGAGGAGGAGGAGGAGGCGGAGGAGGAGGCGGAGGAGGAGGAGGAGGAGGAGGAGGGCAGGGGTGAGCTTCGGGGGCAACGACAGGGGGGGATAGGCATAGGGGGATTCCGTTCGACCCCAAGCCCCATTGATCGCGATAGGGGCCCGATAGGTACAATAGGGGCCCGAAGCCCAAGCCTGCCCAGGAGCGTGCGAATTCACTACGGGTGCATATCGACGATCTATCGGCGATGTATCGCTGGTCCAGCCGATGCATCCCCCCCTGTGCCAGTCCCCCCCTCAGGCGCGGCACCTCAGGGGGCAACCAGGGGGAGGAGGCGGAGGATGGAGGAGGAGGAGGAGGAGGAGGAGGAGGAGGAGGAGCATCCCCCCTGTGCCAGTCCCCCCCTATCGTTGCCCCTCAGATCTGTCTGTGGTACCACGGGGCGCCTTCTCGCCTCGTGGCGGGCATCTGGACGCCTGCAGTTGAAAGCTGTGGCCGAGAAAATGGGTGTCATCATGGTTTCTCGTCCTGAGAGGAGGACGAGGAGGAGGAGGAGGAGGAGGAGGAGGAGGAGGAGGAGGAGGAGGAGGAGGGAGGAGGGAGTAGGAGGAAGCAAGAGGCGGAGGAAGGAGGAGGAGGAGGATGCTTAGTAAGAGGAGGAGAAGTAATATTATGATGACGATGATGATGATGGTGGTGGTGATGATGATGATGGTGGTGGTGATGATGATGATGATGGTGATGAGGACGAGGATAAGGAGGAATGGGAAGAGGAGGGGGAGGAACAGGCTGAGTAAGAGGAGTTGTTCGCAGGGTCGAGCGAGTCAGGAAGCGCCGCATATCCATACACCCCCCCCTCCCACAGCATAACATCTCCTCCTCCTCCTCCTCCTCCTCCTCCTCCTCCTCCTCCTCCTCCTCCCCCTCCCACAGCATAACATCCTACTGGGACTGGAGCCCAGACATGCGACGTCGTGACGTTTCCACGACCGGGTCCCAGGAAGTCCCGACCCTTTCCCCAGGACCGGCTTCTCTCGCCCTGAACCGTTCCTTGACGGGCCCGAGGCCCGGCGAGGGCCCCCCCCGCTGCCGAGAGCAGCCAAGAACCTCCGGCCCTGATGTCTGTTACGACGCGATCCTGTCTGGGAGCGCGTTTTCCCACCTCGCACACGGAGGGCGCTCGCATGCGGCCCCGCTTCCCACGCCCCGGCGCAGGGCAAGCTGCGCGGGCCGCGCG